TTGCAATTAGCTTACGATATATCTCCTCACTCTAGTGTACTATGAAATTCAGTGTTAAAAAGGGCAACCCTTCTATGGTCGACACACCTTTCGTAGAATCCAACACTTGGAATCATTGCCTTTATACGCGCCATTGCCAAGATCAAGTTTTACCTGTGAGTCGTCCTCTGGCTAAGCTGTTTTCAACAACGCAATGAGGTTCATCAGGTGCCTAAGCAACTGCATCGACGCTGAAGATAGTGTCTTGGGGATTGATAGACATCGTAGTGATTGAGTATCTCAGAGTATGAAGTTGTTAAACCTAGCGATGGCCATGTCAGATACTTACTGACGACTTTTGTTCGTGCAAAGTCAGAGTGCCTAAACCCAAAGAAGGGGCCACTTATACTGGTATGTTCGGACCGAACACCCCGACCCCAGGGGCCCTTTCAATGGGGGACGATAAGCGGGTCCGGCGGAATTACAGACCCTCTTGGAACATTCCCACACTAATCCATCGCTTTGATCTGAACATCAGTATACAACTCAGCCACGCCTACATTAGGGATTAAATTACTCTCGGATGCCTAGTCCGAGAGGACGTGTGCTTCATTTCATCAAAATTCGGGAAGCATTTTAGAGACATGTAATTCTCGGTTTGCCCGAATTGGCCGGGATGTCAAGTCCGAGGATCGGCGTTGATTCAAGCGGAGGTCGAGCAAGGAGGAGAGTTGGCAACGCGTACGCAGTCCAGGCCTCCGTAAGATGGCTTTGTTAATTTCATTGGTATCAGGTGTCGAGCATGTCGACAGCGAAAAGTAAAATGCTCAGGAGGTGTGCCGTGCCTCAGCTGCGCAAGTCGACAACAGTCTTGCATATACGACGAAGCGGACAGAAGGGTCGTGATATTGGAAAGGTTGGTTTCTGCTATTAATCTATCCTTTGCCCAATCGGTGTTAAATTGTTTTTGGTGTCAAGACACTTGCGTGCTCTTCAACGACGTGCCGCCACATCACACGCTCCTGAATGTGCGAACCCGGTATCGACTCACTTGGCGACGGGTAATGTGCAGCAAGAAGCACCAACATTCCCCGAATCAGGAAGAGTAAATGCCGTCTTCTCTGTTTCGAAGAATACGGCCACAGATATATGTACCACTCCTTCGTAAAGAGATCCGTTAGATTTCTTGAGGCTAATCCCATCAAGGTCACAGGCACGTCTCAATCTCGATTCTTGCTCAGAATATTCGCCAAATTCTTGATCCAGAATGTGACAGGAGCTGGCCAATCGTTGGGGAAGGAAGCTTCTACGGAGTTTCTCTAGATCTTAGCGCTTCGTCTGACTGTTTCGATCTTCATCTTCCACCCAAAGATCATATCATCTACCTCGCTCATATTGCGGACTTTCACCTCAGCCCCAATTACTGCATCTTTGAATACGAGACGTTCATAGATCAACTCAATCAGAGTCAAGTGCCGATCGAGTCGCCTTCATCAAAAGTGTGGCATGTGAAGCTGCTTTTAATAATTGCGTTGGGCAAACTTTTCCTCGAAAAAGGCTCAGACACTTCCGGTCCCCCTGGTACAAAAGAGTTTTTGGAAGGCGTCAAAAATCTCCCGTCAAATATTGAATTGGCCCAAAGCCCGTTGATCTCTTCTGAGGCACTCGCCCTTTTGGCTTTTTACGCACGTGCGGCTGATTTACATCATGCTGCATATCTATATGTGAGTAACACATCTAGCTTTTGACCTACGGATGCTGATATCAAGTAGGCAGGACAAGCATCTCGTGTTGCTCGATTAGGCGGAGTCTATCAGCAACATTACGTCGAAAGTAATCACAGTGAAAAGCAACTTCCGTATACGGCCAGATTATGGTCGACTATTTGTGTGCTCGAGCAGAGATCCGCGGCTACCATTGGTACTCCGCCCGATTCAATTGTTGCCGATGCTAGAAACGATGTTTTGCCGTCAACATCGGCCTCTCAAAATCCACAAAGCCAATCAATTCAGCTCAATTTATGCCTCGCTAATCAACTAACCAACATCGTCAAAGGTGAGTAGCACCCATGCACCCGCTAGGTCAGTCTGACAAGTTCTAGTCATCTCCTCGTTTCCATCTTCGCCTCCAGTGACGCCATGTTATGTGGATATGATCCTAGATTCGCTAATGACCTTGCCTAACCTTGCGCGCCGAATCAACAAAACAGAAGTTCTCTGCGAGAACACGTCAACTTCCAGCATGTCAAGATCAGTCGCGTATCTACATCTCCTGTTTTATCACGTAAGTCTTCCATGCGGTTATCAGTGAACACTTCACTGACCACATTCTAGTGTATCATCGTAGCCACTCAGCCATGCATTCTTCAATTGACACGACTATGTCTTGGTAGAAAGAATTTTCCCACTACAGACGAAGCCTTCGCAAAGTCCGTATTCAAGCTCTTTAGAATATCTATCAAAGCGGCTACTTCTAGCCTCAGCATTGTATTTACTTTGCATAATCAGGGCCTCTTTGGTGCGATATTCGTGTTCTTCAATGCCGCTGTACAAGGGCGGAGACTAACAAGCTTGTCCATAGACTCGTTTTCGTTCTTCAATCTTGAAATTACTTTTGTCGCTGCCGTGATGCTAGTACTAGCCAACATTATTGTGCCGAAAACCACCGAAACGACTTTTATCGACTCCATGGACAACATATTGGAAGATATGTCTCATAGAGGCAACATTCCTGCCAGGTTCTACAGGACAGAGCTCAAGATGATTCGCAATACCGCATCAAACCTCATAGCTACAAGTTTCGGGGAGATATACTCCTTTTCTAATCAAGAGGAGACCATCAGTTTGATTCAAGACGGTAAAGTTCTCAACGACGCAATTCTCCACGTCATTGAAGTACAGAAGAAAGCTCTCATCACGGAAGACTCTTGGGATATTTCAGAAAACATGCCGACGGCTAATCCGCGCTCTCCGCGTCGGCGACAGCCATCGAGTGCACCATTACAGTTATCGCAAGAGGACTCCAATGAGACACGAAATCTAACAATACTAGAAAGCAGCAATGAGATACAGCCAAACAGCGTCTATGTTGATGGCTACGATGCAATGGAAGACATGTTGACTTTCGACACTGCAGATCTGCAGTGGCTGGATTCAGTGTAACAAATCGGATACATCATTTATTTCTTGTATGATTTTGAAGAATTTCACTCATAATTACAACTGGGAAAGGAAATAGTCAATATACGAAATGTTTGGCAATTTGTCTCAACCGGCCTGGGTACAGACTGCGGGAACGGATCACCACATCATGCCTAAGTAGTGATATATTTCGAAAGAACTCATGATATCACATCACCTTCAATGTCTCATTTCCCACCTATAAGTTTCTGACCATCGTAGGCTGGAACAACATCTGATGCACCGGTGGTTTGATGCAGTCCCGGTTTTCTTCGGTAGTGGGGTTCCGAACTAGGCAAATGTGGAGAGCATTTTTCGGAGGTGGGTTCCGAGCCAGAACCCGCCGCCCCTTTACAAAGCGACGGTAGACTGCATGGTTGCAATGACACGATAAACCACTCTCGTGGGCAAGGTAACGAGCTAGATCATCTCTATGCTCTATCGCTATAGTGAGTTGTTCGGTGACAGGCTTCATTAGCGGCATGCTTCAAAATAATCTCCTGCGCAATGTAGCCGAAGGCCGAGTTAGTATTGTACGTGCAAGAGGTTAGGTCGCTCACAGCTTTTGCTAAGACGCGTAGGCACTCGGAGCAAAAGCTATTTCCAGCAATGAACTCGCTCTGCTGACTAAGGCGGCTGGGTACGACACGATCTTCATCGATCTCGAGCACTCCACATTCTCGACCAAAGATGCCAGCACTCTGTGTGTAGCATCGCTCGCGGTAGGGGTTACACCTTTTGTTCGCGTGCCATACCAATGTGGGAGTGGATACGTCCAAAGAATTCTAGATGGTGGAGCGATGGGTATTATCTTCCCGCATATCAGCACAGTCGGTGCGTTCACTCCGGTGACCAACATCGAACGAATGAAACTAAGATAAAGCAGGAGAGGCAGTCGCTGCAGTAGCCTCCACAAAGTTTCCTCCACGAGGTAAACGTTCCCTCACAGCAACACTTCCACAATTTGGATATCAGAGAGTCGGCGCAAAAATTACAATACAGGAGCTAGACAGCATTGGATCTACCGCCTTTGTCCTTGTAGAAACAGTTGAGTGCTTGGAGAATATCGATGCAATTGCAGCCGTAGAGGGTGTTGATGTTTTATTGCTTGGTGCCAACGATCTATCACTTGAGCTTGGCATTATGGGAGAATGGGAGCATGCTGAATTCCAAGCAGCTGTGGAGACAGTGGCAACTGCAGCACATAGAGCAGGCAAGATCTTTGGACTCTGTGGACTTTATACCCGACCTGATATTTGTAAACATGCAGTGAGAGAGCTTGGAGCAAGATATATACTCGGGCATTACGATATTGGATTACTGGCTATGGCCATGAACAAAAATGTGGAACATCTCAGAAAGATGTCTGTTCAGGATTGATGTCATTGTTTAGTCAATTCTAAATGTTGACATGATTTATATGTTGATGAGGTGCAACCTTCAGGTGGCTGTCCAGATACAGATATTAGCACCAAATGAAAAAATAGTATCGTTGCAAATTAATTATTGAGGCTTAGATCGACAAATTGCATAAAGCCGTCATGATCTGAATGCTTTGAGAGAGCAAATCGGTTCGGCATTGCGTAACCGAGCCCGGGGCGACCAGAACTCTCTATTAAGCCGGGACCTGGAAGATACCATTTTATGCTTTATGTTTTTCAAAATATAAATACTTAGAAGCATCTTCGCCAAGCCCTCTCCTTCCACTACTCTGCGTGTTCTTCTACATATGTCTCCTTGTCAGAGCTAAACCCATAGTACTCAAATATCATCTATACCAAAATTAGCTTGTATATGCACCCAAAGGACCCCCCGAGCCCCATTCACCGAGCAAACACCACAATGGCGTCCAGATCTAAAGTCGAATTGCTGCGGTCTAAGCTGAACACAGCAAAGCCAGCCGTTGCTATGGCTTCCCACAACCCTCTTGCAGCAAAGCTTGCGGATGAGGCAGGGTTTGACGCAATATGGGTTAGCGGCTTCGAGATCTCGGCATCATATGCTGTCCCAGATGCCAGTATTCTACCCATGAGTGTCAATCTCGAGATTACACGTGCCATGAGCCGCGTTCAAGAGGCACCACTCGTGGTTGATATCGACACCGGATTCGGGAATGCAATCAATGTTGCCTATACAGTACCACAATTTGAGGCCGCAGGTGCAGCAGCGATTGTGATCGAGGACAAGACATTCCCGAAAGATAGCAGTCTCCGTTCCGACGGGCGTCAGCTGTTGGTTACGGTGGAGGAGTTCCAGGGCAAGATTGCTGCTGCGAAAGCAGTTAGTTCTGTTTTAATAATTGCAAGAACAGAAGCGTTGATCGCTGGCCTTGGCGAGGAGGAAGCTTTACGGCGCGGTGTAGCCTATGCGGAAGCAGGGGCAGATGCGATTCTGATCCACAGCAAGCAGAAGACACCTGATGAGATCGTTTCTTTCTGTCGAGCTTGGCCCGGTCCAGTTCCGTTGGTGATAGTTCCAACTAGCTATCCGCAACTCTCATTTAAAGAGGTTGGTGCTCTCAACAAAGTCGGTCTAATCATTTGTGGAAACCATTCAGTTCGAGCAGCTGTAGCCTCCATGAAGAGCACCTTCGGCCGCATTCTCAAAGAAGGTGGCATAGCGGGCGTGGAGAAAGATATAGCCACGGTGTCATCTGTCTTCGAGCTTCAAGGAGACGCTTACATGCGAGCGTTGGAGAAAGCATATCTTCGGTCTGGACCTATGCAGAGTGCAGAAGAGGAGGCAAACCGGCACTTGCAGCATCACTAGGGCATTGGCTGGAGAGGACTGTGTTTACTGAAAGGCGGCCATTTGCTAGTCTGCCATGAGGTGCTCCCGGGGCTGCATAGTCCACAATCTGAAGATTTCTCTCTTCGCCAGATGCTGTGAATTGCCTTCATCAGCAGAATGAGTCCCAAGAAGCTCGGCTAATATCAATACTGCTTTGATTTGTTGAGTCAATGTTGATAGATTTTGTGCATGAAAAGGGTGACATTATGGCTGCCTTACAACTGTAAATGACTGCTAGTAAATTTGTTGTTTCGAAAACAGCAAAGGAGGAAGGTTCGCACATTACGACGAGTAACTTCCATTTCTGATTGTACGACTCCACCTCTCCGAAGCTTCACCTTAGGCAGCCGCAACCCCAAACACGTGGAGTAGAATCAGATTCAAGCACGAAAGTTGATTCACGTAGTCTGTGTGATCTTTTCTCCCTTCCTATTCATGACCAAGGCTTCCGTGGTCCTGAAAAGTGCCAGTTCATTGCGGCTCTCGACAACTACACTCCCGGAGTGCCTCGAGATTACCAGGAGCCCAGGTCCTGTTTGTTCTCATCAATCATTTCATACACGCTTGACTGACTATTACGAGCTGTTTTGGCTGCGGCAAGGTTCAGGCCGATCTTGGAAAGAGCCTGTCGCAGTGCTCCAAATGCAAGATGGCTTGGTACTGTGGTACTGTGAGTTGCACCCCGGACTTGTTTTTCTCAGTTAATAGTCTCTAATCCTTTTGGTAGGAGTGCCAGAAGAACCACTGGCGGGACCATAAGACCACTTGCATTCCACCTAAGCGTAACCCTTCTCTCAATGTCTAAAAACTCATCTGTTATGCTTCAGGTCAAAGGTACCAAATGCAATAGTTAGAGAGCAATTTCAATTTTCGATACATTGATCAGAGCAATGTCCCCACTCCACTTTTGCTTCCATAAGTGTTCATGACACTACTGCTAAGTTGCTTGTCAAAAGAGCACACGTCGTAAAGATCTAGTGGAAGGCTGATCCTGTCCAGTTTCTCTAATCTAGGTACTCATTCGAAATAGTCGCAATCCAGGAAGTCGCTTTGTCGAAGGAACCACTATTTCACACAGGTCTTTCGAATACATCAAGATCGGGGAAGTAACTTACTCGGCAAAATGCGAGTTCCGTGGCGTTGACAAATAAGCTGGGAACATATGCACCTTGGATCAGATACGCCGAAGCTTTTAGTCACCTATACAGGGGCATCAAAGTTATTTATGGCGATCGACTCTTGGCGTCATCTCGTTGACTCCCTGTCATCTTCTAGAGCAGGTTTGTGAAACTTCGTATTGCCCCTGCTGATGGCAGCAAAAGATCTTATGCGCGGCCGAAAGCCATGCTGCCGTCAGCACCTAAATGCATTCTCGGTCTAGTTTAATTTGGTGCGGCCATAATAACCAATCGTATGGTAACCTCGAGGATTTACATTGATGATTCAGGGCGAGGGCCAGGCTCGTGTTCCCTTACTAAAAGGCTATCTTAGAAGAAAGACTCTATAGTCACCGCCATCATGTGTCAAGCAGCCTTTGACTAGAGGCAAACCACTGCCGCCCTAACAAACATCGGCCACGGTTTTGATATTTAAATCCACAAGCTCGCCGAATCATTCGCTACAATCGCGCGTTTCCAACCTCTATTCGTTCTGCAAACGCTCGTTGGACTGTCTCGTCATGTATCTTGTTACGCTCGCCGCCCCTATCTTACTCGCTGGCCTCGTCGCCGCGACACCAAAGCCACAAGACGAAGATCCAGCCCCAAAACCGCCATTCCACATCGCCTTCACCTTTCCAAACGGCACCACGACCGATCTATTTGAGGTTCCTGACCAGATCTCTGATGTACCTACAAGTAAGCCTGCCGTTCTTTGACGAATTTTTGTCCGCATCTCTATCCAAGGGACTAATCAGGCCCCAAACAGACATCACCGATTTAGTCTCTCTCGTCTTTATGAGTCCACCCGCTACCGGCGCCTTCCATGTGCCCAGTGTGTGCACCTTCTTAGAGCCTGACAGGCAGGGGCTTGGTCAGATTGCATTTCAGAGCGCATCATCTCGCGTCGTCGACCCGCCGGCGGTGATCGCGTTCGTACAATGGTAAGCCACTTCCGGAGTTCATTTTCATATGTGATGGCATGGCAATGAGAAATGGAGACAAAGGCTAGACTAAACGTAGACTATCTCCAAAGCCATCTCTATTGTAGCTCTTTTCCCACTCTTTCGCTGCCCCAAACAAGCAATTGCTGACGACCCACTTCGTAGTAACACGACTTAGAGATCAGAGCATATCAAAATCACTGGTATCGAAGGTAGATGTATCCATGGTCGCTGGAATGATGTACGCCAAGGGCTTACGGCACAGTTGAGAGGAGAATACTTATTGAGATGAATTCTATAAAAGCAGGAGTATTGTGTCTTATGATGCGTGACTCTCTAGCCACCAACGCTTTCCCTAAAATCAGCTATGTAAACCCTCAAAAACTGAGTTGGTGGAGCATAGTCTTACCCCTGCCAGCAGTCAGGTGACTTATTTTGCTATCACTTACCTCATTTTGCTCGCTTCACTAACCTATTACTAATTACAATACAAGAATGGCTACCCCTTCATTCTGAGTACGTTCTCATGCCCTGGGGGCTTCTTTTTGTGTGCGTGTTATATGATATCTTGATTGGGTGTTGGTCAGCAGTAGACACTGCTGCCCTTTTTCAATACCAAAGCACGTAATGTCCTCAAACTCATCGTTCAGTCTTATTTGGTTAAAGCCCTAAGATTAGATGTAATTTACTAGTGAATTATATGTCTCGGAACAGCCCGAAAATGGGTCCGGGCATCGGCCTCCATTGCCTGTAGAACAAATCTCGTCCCGAACCCAGCAACGTGGAAGCAGCCACCAGTCTCAACAAATCAAAACCCAAATTTGAATGGGCTACTATGGTAAGCGATGTTGATGACAGGGACCGAGTCTCCCAGATTATATTCTTTGTCTTCGGTACAAAAGGTCCAGGTTGAAGGACCATCTGTGGGGTTTTGATTGGCACCGGCACGATCACGCAACTGCCGCTTTGCCATTCTAGACTTGATGGCCGACATCCGAAGTCTCGCCCGGAGGGTGTGGAACTACGCATTTTGACATTCAAACATGCATATGTAGCTATCTTGGCATGGAGATATTCTGCATTCATTAGAGCTCGAGTACATTTGTCCGGACTTGATATTCTAACCCGAACATGCCGCTGATCACCTGCAACACGGAAATGAGGCCATCGGTACTAGCTATAAAAGAGGTTGAGGGTTAAGGGTTGACCACTCGTAAGCCCCTCCCATCATGGTTGTCATAATCCTAATCTGTACAACTCAATGAGTGATTTTGCAGATCCTGAAGATGTTTCACTTCCTCTTGTCAGTCCTCGTATGGACCTTGCTGTTGAATGCCATATCCGCACAGCTCACTCCACGCGACCAGAGTTTACCATACCTTAACTCTTCGCTTCCTGCCAAGGATCGTGCAGCAGACTTGCTTCAGCGCATGACATGGGAAGAGAAGGTCGGACAATTGGGTGGAGTTAGACGAGCGTTCGGCCGAGTGAATGGCAAGCCATCGTTCAACCAAACAAGCTACGATCTCATACAAAAGACGCAGAATGGGCAGATTGGTGCGTGTAGGCTACAACCCCTCCTCTAACTTCGTCTAATATGAGCCTTTGGATAGGCTTGGGTTCCCAGCTCAATTATGCTCAAGACATTTTCCCCACTTTGACTAAGCTGCGTGCTGCACAAATCAACAGTTCGAGGCTGCATATCCCTTACATTACCATTACTGATTCGGTAAATGGCATCTGGGTTTCGGGTGGGACATTGTTTCCTGGAATTGTCTCAATGGGTTCTTCGTGGAACCTGCCCCTATATGAGCAGGTTGTCGCTGCAATTCGAGACGAAAACCTGGCTCTTGGCGTGAACTGGGTGCTGTCTCCGGAGGTTGACATTGCCAAAGATCCCAGGAATGGCCGTAACAATGAGATGTACGCCCGCCCTTTCAGTCAACATCAGCACAATAAATGGTTGCTAATAGGGGGATTAGGTTCGGCGAGGACACGCACTTGGTATCAGAGTTCGCCACTCGATACATCAAAGTCATGCAGGAGAAAGATGATAATGGCTTTGTCAAGGTCGCTACGACAATTAAACATTTTGTCTATGGTCTGGGTAGTGGCGGCGTCAATAGGGCGAGCATGTTTGGCGGCATAAACCACATCTTGAATGATTTGGGCCTGCCTTACTACAAAGCGATCAAAGAGGCCGAACCACTATCTTTGATGGTGTCTTACTCGACAGTGGACCGTGTTCCTATGTCTATCAATCGGTCCATGCTGCAAGATGTACTTCGTGGAATCTTAGGCTTCAAAGGGCTAATCATGTCCGACGCCAACTCCATCTTAAATCTTGTCATAGAGTCGAAAGTCGCTTCCTCGGAGTTGGATGCTGCGAAAAAGGCTCTCAGTGCGGGACTTCAGCACGAGCTGTCCCCAGGAGGCAATGGACTGTTCACAACTCTCATAAATGCTGTAAATGACACAAGCGTTACAGCTTTGGTCAATGACGCCGTTGTGGCTATCCTTGAGATCAAGTTTGCCACAGGAGTGTTCGATCTGCCTTTGCCGACATTGGAAAATCTGAACCGCACGTTGCGCAACGAGCGCCACCTTGAGCTGAGCCGGAATATGAGTCGGGAATCAATCGTCATGCTCAAAAATGAGGACATCCTACCACTCAAAAGAAGCGAGATATCAAAGATTGCCGTCATTGGCGCATACGCAGATATGGTGAATGCTGGTATGTATGCTGCCTGCAATGACTCAGATCCTGCATATGGCGATTCCTTTCGGCGAAGTTTAGCCCGAGAGCTTGGCGACGAGAATGTCTTGTACGTTCCGGGGGTCACAGCTCTGCCGTCCAACGACTCTTCAGGTATTCCCGCTGCCGTAGCGGCGGCTCAAGATGCTGGCATTGCCTTTGTGGTGCTCGGCTCTGGATGGGGAAGTTTTGACCCAGCTACCTTCGACAACCGGCGCACTGACGGCGAGGGTTTCGCTCATGCAGAGCTTGGATTCCCGGGGCTACAACAGGAGCTCCTTGACGCGGTGCTTGATACAGGTGTTCCTACAATTCTGGTTATAAGCGCCGGTCAGACCTTCGTGCTGAATGAGTCAACCATGCGCTCTAAGGCGATCTTACATGCGTGGTTGAGCGGTGAATTCCACGGAGATGCACTGGTTGAGACCCTTTTCGGAGACGTCAACCCTAGCGGAAAGCTCACTGTTACAATGCCTCAGGCAAACGGTGCTTTCCCTGTTGCCTATGATTATCTTGCATCTGACGATCAAGGCGGATTTGGCACCGCAATTTTGTACGATTGGCAATGGCCGCAGGTGACGCGATACGCCCCTCTTCGATTTGGCTTCGGTCTAAGCTACACGACATTTAGTATTTCCCCTCCAGTAATAGTGCATACAGAGAAATGCGGTGGAGGGCTCACCATCAACGCGACTATCACCAATACAGGCACAGTCAGCGGGAAGGAGGTCGTGCAGGTGTATTACAGGCCCATCCACAGCATCATCGAATTCCCAGTCATGAAACTGATTCGCTTTACAAAAGTCAACCTCAGCCCTGGTGAGTCGAAAGATGTCACCTTGACCGTACCATACAACGAATTGGGGTTCTTTGTTGATGGCAAATGGCATGTCGAGAGCGGAGACTATGCATTCTGGGTTGGCAGCAGCTCCAGGGATGAGGATCTGCAGCGATTGAATGTGACCCTATCCTAGGGGAACGCCTATCGTCCATGGTCTGCCGATGTCCACATATACAGTCTATCGAAACTTGTATTATACATGATCTCAAGATCTTCCCACCCCCATAATTCATTTTTCAACTTAGAAATGATACCAACACCTTGAGACGAATATCGTCCAACGGTTGTGACTGGTAGCCTGGGTATAGATGATCTCTACTCATGGCCCAGTAGCCGGTTCGAAAAAGGAATCCAGGTCCTGTCGTCCGAATGATGCGAACAAAGGAAATTGCCAATTCTCATTTTGGTCAGGTATCAAAGAGTCGAATATCCAGCCGTCCTCGGCACGTACCGCGCTTCCTATCTGGCCAGATGCTAAGCTTTCAGGGTTCATCGTCGATGTATATATGCTTTGGTCGCCAATGGCAATACCGGAGCTCGCCATGGCAGATGAGTGAGATGGCCAAGTGCGAGAGGTGCCGTCACCTCTCGTATTGATATTGCCTCCCTCCTCTCTCGTCACTATTTGTTCATCCTCGTCATCATGGGGAAACTCGGCTTGACGCAGAAGGCTATGAATCGCGAGCCGCTGTCTCGCTTCGATTGGTGACGGTAAAATCTGTTGTTGGGGGTCGTGGCTGTGAAATATACTGGTGTGGACTGTTCGAGCGGCCGTATGGTTTTGTTGAGAAAACAAACTTAATATCCGTTGAAGCTCTTCGATAATTGGATTTGCAAGTGCAGATGACGGAAAGAATCGTTTCAGAGCTGCAAGTGTTAGATCGGCCCTGCTTTTTGCAAACTCTGGACTGGGACGATTCGTGGTCTTGCCAGAGCGTGAGATATACAGGATAAGCCGCGTAGCGTGATAAGCACAGATGGCTGTGTCATACTCGAGGAGATGATGACGGGTGCTTTGTTGGTTCAAATTTGTCAAGATCTGAACAATTGATATGGCATGCCGGAGACATGCGCGCTCTGCCGTGGCAATGTAATTAGGATTCGCGGCATCAATGACAATGCTTGGCGCTGCTTCGGGGTATCCTCTTAATAGTAAGCGATAGAGGTCACAATGACACTGATGCCATGATATAAGCACCAAAATGCGCCGCGGTAGCCACGGGTTGTCCAACAAGCCAGATATCTCGTCAACTGTCAGATTAGTTCCAGATGGCATTCGAGATCCAATCTCGCGCAAATCTCGCTCGACATCGTAAATTACTTTGGTTAGTAATGGGAAAGGCTGGTCACAAAGAGCTACGCCTCTGTTGAGCTTCATGATATCCCGCCTGACTGATTCTAATCGCACGTGGAGGCTATACGCGCCGTAGTCACCCGCTTCATCGGCGCCGAACTCTTCTTCCGGAATGGGGAGGTCTAAATAAATTGTCTCAAAAGGGCAAAGCTCAAACTCTGGTAGGCCAATCGAGAAGTACCTTTCCACGATCTTGAGCGACCAAACGATTCGTCGGCGAACCTCCCGTGCGATAGGATCGAGATCTGGTCTCTCGTGGTTCAGGCGCATAGCGGCTGCGAAACGAGCAGCAATGGCTGCAAGCATAAAAGCCCGCTGAAAGTTCCCGAGCTCCATGCGGTAGTGGATGACAAGCAGCAATGTCTGTAGCCTCGGTATTGACGGCTGTTCAAGGTTCTCCCAAATAGTCTGCTCTGCGTCTTGAATCCATTGACTAGCCGGCTCCCGTTCCCTCGCTGTATAGAAAACAGTTAAAGCAGCTATAGCCTGTGCCAGTGGTCTGTGTACAAGCCCGTCTCGGCATCTTTTTTTAGTAGTCGCAGGATGGAGAAAGGCGTAAGATGGCAAGGGATAAATCTTCTCGAAGAAGACATCGATGAGACTCAGGATATCATCCGTTGTAGCAGACACTGGAGACCCCACGCTCTCATCGGCGATAGATGCCTGAGGGGACAGATCTTGAATAGGCCTCTTAAGTGCTGGGTATACGCAAGGTTGTTCCCTACGCTTGCATCTGACACATTGCGGCGACGTGCCTGAGCAGCGAATTTTCTTCTCGCGACATGCTTCACAGGCTCGTATACCTCTTAATCGTCGTGGTGTGATTGCAACGCTTTGTCCATTCTCAGAGACCGTACTGGAGTTAGACGAACAGCTCAACCCAAGTCGTTCACAGTTCGTACATGTTCCCTCACGTTTGTCACATCGCACCTACAAGCACCGTGTAAGTAAGATGAGGGAGAAAAGCCCTCAATCCCGGGGAGATGAAATCGAACCTTGCGACGCCTGCATTGAAAACATGTCTCCTGGCCATGTTTCTTCCCTGAACTGAAGCTACCAACATATGATTCCATTGTAAACCAGCGCCATCTCACAATACGAAACTGTCAAAGTTCATGCATTATGTACCCGCCAGCGGCCTGTTCATGAGCACCAAATCCAATGAGAGGCAATCAAATGCATCATTAACAGGGTGAAAGACGGGGCGAGTGGTCAGGTTTTCAGGCATCTCCGCTTCTTGGATCTCTTTGTCGGGGTTGGCTGGTAGTGTGGGGAACCGCGAAGACGACATCCGCTAGTTTTATTGCTAAGCACCAACACCCCTGGGACCATGACGCCTCGGCAGTCTAGATCCTCAGCATCATGCAAGATGCAGAATGACCAGTTGCATTTTCTAGCATACAAAATGGCGTAAAATGCTAGAACAGTTATTTCTGACAATCTATAATCGCCTTGCAAGTATGACTAAGCTACAAGATCGACTTCCCTTTAGGAATAGCTAAATTATCAAACATTCATTCTCATTCTGTTAGACCAGCATCAAGTGTAAGGTCACAACTTGCTCGAAATTGCTGCAGCTGTAGCCGGAGCTAGTCGAGGATGAACAGGCTCGTCACCTATTTGCTCCATCTTCGATTCGAGCAGCCCAGTCATTTTCCTCACCACCTCCTCATATCTCGGATCATTGTACACATTGAACAACTCTAACGGATCTTGTTCGCAGTCAAAAAGTTCCCATTCTTTTTCGTCCCGAGCACCTGGCCGCGCTCCCGGTATGCCAAAGTCTTCATTGTACCAATAAATGAGCTTATATCTTTGGTCCCGGACACCATAGTGGGCATACGCATTATGAATTATATCATTATGCATCCAATAACGGTGGTAGGCAATTTGTTGCCAGTTCTGTGGCGTATTACCTTGGAGCAGCTCGCGAAAGGAAACACCTTGCATGTAGTTCGGCAAGGGGAGCTTGGCAAAATCCAGGAATGTAGGAGCAAAATCCACATTACAGATTATATCATCGCAGACCGACCCCTTGGCTATTGTGGCAGGATATCGAACGAGGAAGGGCATTTGAAATGACTCCTCATACATGAACCTCTTGTCAAACCAACCGTGTTCACCAAGGAAGAAACCCTGGTCCGAGGTATAGATGACGATTGTATTCTGCGCGAGTCTAGTCCGGTCAAGATAGTCAAGCATACGCCCAACGTTATCGTCTACCGACTGTATAACTCGGAGATAGCGTTGCATATATCGCTGGAATTTGAACTCGGCTAGTTCGCTCTCGTTATCAAAGGTGAAGACCGTTCCGTCGTCCTTGTCGATTAGTTTCGTGGCATTTGTTGGGATCTTGCGTTGGCTTGACCCAGACTCCTGTACCACGCGCTCACCAACCCGGCTGCCGCCGTCCGGTTGAACCAGTCCAAGGTCTTGATATGTAAGGTCTTCTGCCACTCGCATCTTGGCAACTTTAGCAGCTTTTGCGCGATTCTTATAGTCATCCGTGTACGTCTCAGGAACTCGGATGGGATCCGTGTAGAGATGTTTGTGTTTTTCATCACACTCCCATGACCGATGAGGAGCTTTATGGTGGCACATAACAAAGAAAGGTTTCCCAGTGTCCTCGGTCTCGGTAATCCAATTCAGGCATTTGTCTGTGATAATGTCTGTAACGTATCCTGATTCGGACTTCTCTCCTGAAGACTCGATAAACTCTGGATCCCAGTAATCGCCTTGGCCAGGAAGAACAGACCAATAATCAAAGCCACTAGGTTCATGTGCAGAGCCTTCGCCCATGTGCCACTTTCCTACCATGGCTGTTCGATAGCCACCGGTACGAAGGTGCTTAGCAACATTAGGCATATGCTTATTGATTTTGCCGTCCAAGGTCATCACTCCATTGACGTGATTGTGTGTGCCCGTTAAGATGGCAGCTCGTGAAGGCGTACATATTGAGTTCGTCACGTAACAGTGGTTAAACTTCATTCCTTCAGAGGCTAGTCTGTCGATATTCGGTGTGTGATTGATACCAGCGCCATAACAGCTGATCGCTTTGCTGGCATGGTCATCAGCCATGATAAAGATGATATTAGGTCTTGCGGCAGCCATGGCGAAGAAATCAAAGATGACAAGCGGTTATTCTGCGTTAGGTGTAGGCTTACACAACTGATGAGAGACTTCGCCGAAGCAGCATGCTCGATTTTGTGACAAAGAAAGTTAGGCGTCCGTACTGGCTTTTAGAAATTCACATGCGGTCTGCTTCTAACAGCCCGATTTGAGACCACGCCGCCCAATTGCAAATGACCTGTTCCATCGAGCTTACCCACCTCCCGTGGCCACTTACAGATGAGTCTCACTCCTCTCAGCGGCAGACACGGCGAGTCTAGTGCACAGAGATCCATGTCTCAAAACTTGAAACCCCATCATCATCGTCTCGAGCTCTCCAATCGATTTCAAGCACTTCTCTGTATTAAGCAACCTAGTTATTAGCAGCGACCTATTAGATGTTAGAGCAGGGCGGAGACACACCGACAACCGAATAAATGCCGGGAGTCGGTTACAGGTTCCAAAACAGTTTAGTCGTCTATAAGCATCCGCTAGGCCCATCACCTAGCACCTTTCGAGGAGGCCGACCGAGTCCCGGGTTGTTATTTCAGTGTCCCATGGGGAATGCGCAAGAGTGCATCCACTAGCACGTCATCCCAGAATACCACCGTAGGATCCTCCTGCGCTTACCATGTGGTGAAGACGAATCACTGTGAGGTGCAATTGCAGAT